AAAAAAAAAAAAAAAAGAAAGAAAGAAAGAAATTGAGAATCTGCTGGCCAATGTCAGCAATTGGGTCAACTGTCTATCCCTGATTCAATCAGCTATGAACTTGGGGATAGAAGACGAGGAGGCACAAGGAAGGGGCATCTAGCACCTCTCCTAGTCTGATGAGAACCAAACCTGCCTAGCACAAATCCATACCCTCTAGAGAGACCAGATCATGCCCCTTCTCCCTAACATACCATGCTCTTTCATACTTCCACTGCCTTGTATTATTTCCTCGACCTGAAATGTACTGTTCCCACATCAACATTTTTTTCTAAGTGTACGACTTAGCAACATTTAATACAGTCACACTGTTATGCAACTATCACCACTGTCTAATCCCAGAACACCTATCACCACAGAGAGATACCCTGTCCCCACCCCAGCTCATGCAACCATTAATGTCTTCATTTTCCTTGTATATACCAAGAATTGAATATTGGACATATTGGAATTTCTGGGTCATATAGAAACTGTTTAACTTTTTGAGAAACTGCTAAACTGTTTTTGAAAAGTGACTGCACCATCGCTTTATATTATTACCAGCAATCTATGAAGGTTTCAATTCCTTCATACTCTTCCTAAGACTTGTTATTGTCCATCTTTTTTTACGATAGCCATTCTGATGGATGGGAAGTGCTATCTCATTGTGTATCAACCTTTTATATGTCATCCTTCAAAATCCCGCTCACGCATGCCCACTCCAGCGTCTCCTAATGTGCTCCAGGGCAGTTTTAGTTACCCCTTAGTATCATGGTACCATCATTTATCTCCATCTCTCTCAGTGCTCATTCATTCAATATCTACTGAGCACCTGCTGCACGCCAAGCACTATTTGAGGTGCTGAAGATACAGTGAATGAAACACAAAACAGAAAACAGCCATGTCTTTTTTGAGCTTGTATTTTGGTGGGGGAAACATAATTAAAAGTTTGTGAAATGGTGGTATTATAGTGAACACTAAAGCATAGCAGGGCAAATAGGGTAGCCACGGAAAACTTCACTCAAGATAACATTTGAGCAGGAATTGAAGTTTCAACTATGACACATCAGTGAGGGATAACAAGGAGGTATTCGATATGTGTCTAGAGTCCAGAGAATAGAATCCAGGGAGATAGAATGGAAGTGGAGACGCTAATGAGGAAGCAGAAACCCAAACTGAGGTGTGGCCACTAAACTAGGTGAAAACTCACGAGTGTGGAGTTCTAGAGGCAAAAACCTGCATTCGTTTTCCATTGGTGATATAATTACCACAAACTCTGAGGCTTAAAACAACACAGATTTATCTTAACAGTTCTGTAGAAATCTTATACGGAACCACAATCAAGGTGTTAGCACTCCAGCCTGGGCCACCAAGCAAGACTGTCTCCAAAAAAAAAAAAAAAAAAAAAAAAAAGAGCAAAAAAATCTATATCTCTTAAAGAAAAAAAACAATAACTCCATATAAAAACTTCAAAACAAAAAAAAAAAAAGTCTTTTTTTTTTTTTTGAGATGGAGTTTCGTCATCATCCAGGCTAGAGTGCAATGGCATGATTCTCCTGCCTCAGCCTCCCAAGTAACTGGGATTACAGGCATGCACCACCATGCCCAGCTAATTTTGCATTTTTAGAAAAGACGGGGTTTCACTATATTGGCCAGCCTGGTCTCAAATTCCTTACCTCAGGTGATCCGCCTGTCTTGGTCTCCCAAAGTGCTGGGATTACAGGCATGAGCCACCGTGCCTAGCCAAAAAAAAATGTTTTTAATTAGCTGGGCATGGTGACATGCATCTGTAGTCCTAGCTACTCAGGAGACTGAGGTAGGATTGCTTGGGCCCAAGAGTTCAAGGTTACAGTGAGCTATGATCATGTCACTACACTCCAGCCTGGGTGACAAAACGAGACCCTCAAAGAAAAAAGTTAGGAGAATTAACTATTGGAGTGATCTTTTTTTTTTTTTTTTCCTTTGAGACAGTTTTTCTCTGTCACCCAGGATGGAGTGCAGAGGCATGATTTTGGCTTACTGCAACTTCTACCTCCCAGGTTCAAGCGATTCTCCTGCCTCAGCCACCCAGAGTAACTGGGATTACAGGAGTACACCACCACATCCAGCTAATTTTTGTATTTTTAGTAGAGACAGGGTTTTATCATGTTGGGCAGGCTGGTCTTGAACTCGGCCTCACATGATCCGCCTGCCTTGGCCTCCCAAAGTGCAGACATGAGCCAATCCTCATTGGTAGGAGCTCAAAAGAGAAAAGTAGAGAGTATAGGTAGATAACGCTTTGAGTTGTACTAAAGAGCAAAGAAAAGGATGGTAGCTGAAGGGGTAGAAGTGGGGTCAAACAAGTATTTTTTTTTTTTAATACAGAAATACTAGCATGTTTGTAGGCTCATGGGGATGATCTACTAGGGGGAAAGTTAATGAGCAGGACAGAGAAGGAAAATGACTACACATCTGGGCCCACTGAACAGGTAAGGGATGGAATCTAGTATACAAGTGGAAGAGCTTGCCTTAAATAAGGCAAGGACAGTCTGTCTATAGTAACTACAAGAGAGACAGTAGCACAGATGCAGGTGGGTGAATACATGTGATGGTAGGAGCCTGTGAAATTTTTATTTCTAAGTTTAAAAACAGTCATAAGCTGAGAGGATGGCAAAGGTGCTAAAAATTTAAGAGAAAGTGTAAATGGGATAGAGAAATGTACTAGGATTGTGAGGTCATGGCTTTACTTTTCAAGTCAGGGTCTCGCTATGGTACCTAGAATGGAGTGCAGTGGCTATTCACAGATACAATCATTTCATAATATAGCCTCAAACTCCTGGACTCAGGTGATTCTCCTGCCTCAGCCTAAGTGGGACTACAGGCACGCACCACCGCGCCCGGGGAGGCCATGACTTTAAATAGACTGAATCAGCATGTCCACTTGCATTAAGTACTTAAGTGCACAGAAAGTAGAGTATTAAACTTAACCAAAACTGGAGTTTAGCCAGGGAAGTACAATGAAGCAAGAGATGGGGCAAGGCTGAAAAGCTGAGTGTCACAATGAATCACAGAATCTAAGCTGGGTAATGAAGTACGTAAAGAGGTGACAAGGGATAAAGGCAAGTGGTAGAATCAATGAATTTTAAGACTGGTCTTGCTGCTACCCAGGATGAAGTGCAGTGGCATGGTATTGGGTCACTGCAACCTCAGCCTCCCATATTCAAGCAATCCTCTCACTTCAGCCTCCTGAGTAGCTGCGACTGTAGTCCAGATGGTAGTGCGTCACACCCAGTTAATTTTTGTATTTTTTTGTCAATGGGGTTTAGCCATGTTGCCCAGGCTGTAGATCAATGAACTTTAAATGTCAGTACTACAAACACCCACTGTACTGTTTTATGTCTACATACCTGACACCCCCTCTAGACCGAGGTTCTCAGTGGAATGTCGTATCTTTTCCTAGTATTTGAGCATGCTGTTATCTGGGTGGATGGATGCTTACCCATAGTTACAGGGAAATTCCACACTCCCAAATCCTGATATGATATAGTTACTTCTTTATTGTTCTTTAATATGAATTCAAGTAAAAAGCTGCAATGCTTCACCAAAACCTATGGTATAAATAAGATGAGTGCAGCGAAAGGCTACTCAGAATGGCCGTAGTATGCAATGATTGAGCCTGTGAATTACCACTGCCCTCGGGCCTGGGAAGCACTGCAAGACCTGTCTCTAAATCTATGGTATAAACAAAGCCTTTGACAAGATGCTGAATTCCTACAGGACCATATACAAGAACTGAACCAGAAAATGTACTAGAGTATAAACAAAGCCTTTGACAAGATGCTGAATTCCTACAGGACCGTATACAAGAACTGAACCAGAAAATGTACTAGATGTAACCCAGCTACGGTTAAGTTGGCTGTTACTGAACACCTCAGTGACATGAAATAAGTTGGCTGTTACTGAACACCTCAGTGACATGAAATCTTTGAATTTCCAAGCCTCTATTTCAACTCCTTGCAGCAAACTAGCAGGACCCAAAACATCCTTGAGAATAGCAGGCAAAGAAAGAGGAACAGATATATACATGGTGTGTGTGTGGGGGGGGGGGGGGGTTTTTTTTTTTTTTTTTTTTTTTTTTTGAGACAGGGGCTCTGTCACAAAGGCTGGAGTACTATGGCATGATCACAGCTCACTATAGCCTCAACCTCCTGGGCTCAAGTGATCTTCCTACCTCAGACTCCCAAGTAGCTGGGACTACAGGAACACACAACCTTGCCCAGCTAATTATTAGAAATTTGTTGTAGAGATGGACTCTGTGTTACGCAGGCTAGTCTGAACCCCTGGGCTCAAGTGATCTACCTCCTAAAGTGCTGGGAATACTGCACCCAGCCTAAACTCTGCTTTCTAAGCACAGACATAAACTCACAAGAATGAAGGGGGAAAAAAATGCACAAAGAGCGTGTAAAATATGTTTTATTGTTCTTTAAAAGGGTTCAGGGTTTGGTTTTAAATCAGGCTGCACACCTTTCAAATCAATCTGACATCTCTCTATGTCAAACTGGCTTCAGCTAGCAATACTTCATTAAGTCCAAAAGAAAAAAATTGCTTTAAGAAAAAAAAATCCAGTTTTAAGAACAATTAACATTAGTCTTTAAAACAAAATGAGGGCTAATGTTTCATGTTGTTTTATACATCCTTCTCAATACAGACCCAGGGATGTAATATTCCCAACTCAGGCAGGCACTGATACTGATGGACACTGTGCATGCACATACACACACACACGCACACTCCCCCAAACACACACACACACACACACACACACACACACACACTCACTCTCTCTCTCTGTCTCTCTCTCTCTCTCTCCCCCCAAACAACAAAATTCAGAGTATGTCAAAGGGAAAAGGTTATGGTATTGATCAAAACTCTTGAAGTCAACACTGTCTATCTTAGCTGAGCAGGTATGCTGTTTTGATCTTGAGTCTACATTAGTGGAATCTATTGTTGTGTTCTGAAATAAAGAATTTTGGATATACCATTATTTTTTACTTTAAAATCCTAGAAACAATTTCAAAAAGCATTATTTTGTTTTGTTTTCTAGGATGGGAGAGGAGAGAATCTACAGATTTGCATTTAGTTAAAAATCAAAACTCCAGCAATAGGAAATGGGCAGTTCACATAGCCGGCCAACATTTGAGGTATCATCAGTGTGAGACAAGGTCCTGGTCTGTTCCTACTGGCCTAGCTGACGCTAGCAAAATGGGAAGCTTATGGCTCTGCACAGCAAATTCCAGCAGGACAAGATGACTTTAAGCCTGTATTCACAGCCTTAGAAGCAGGGCACTACTGAGTATGTAATATTTAGAGGTGAAAACCGTGCAAGATCCCCTGATGGTACCACTCTACCTTCTTTGTCCATGCAGCCTGATCTTAACTGCCTTCCAAAAAGGACAGAAAAACAGCTTTTTTAGATTTCTAGATCAGCACTTTAAACCCAGCAAAGAATCTGCAGAAATGCTACCACACTGCTTCATAAGCAACACAGTCCCTTTGCTACTCATTGGGTTGCCTGATGTCTCTCTTCTACCCTGTTATGGCCTGTGGACACATACTTACTAGGCATCATTGTTGGTTTTAAACCAAGGATTTTTTTTCTTTTTAAATCTCAAAAGAACCCAGTAATAACAAGGCAATCAATGGTTACACTGAACTTTATATTTGGGGGCAGTTTGGAAAATACCCACCACAAGCATTTCTCATGTCGAAAATATGTGAATTTGCTGCTACTCCTTTGTTCCTGAAAATTCAGTACAAGTCCTAAAATAACAATTTTAAGCTACCAGCATTCCCTGATACTAACAAAATCAGAGTAATGCTACAGCCTACAGCCTGGACACATCTTTACTGATGGCCTGCAGGCCTCCCTTTTAGAAGACAAGTTTCAGGGATATTCACTTAGCTTCACTGGTTAGGGAAGAGAAGAATTCGACTCTCAGCTAAGTTCTTTGAGAAGAGACTCCTCTTAAAATGCCATTTCCCCACTAATTTATTGAAAATAAAAACAAAACAAAAGGCTCTTGGCTACTTTGCTTAGTATTAGATAGGGTTTTGAGGAAAAAAAACTAACATGAACACGCTTTCATCAGTAAAGACTAAAAACCACCTGGATCATATACATATGTATCTCACTGCCTTTGTTTTTATTTTTATTTTTATTTTTTTTATTTTTTGGCGTTTTATCTATCTAAAAGTGCCCAGGTGGGCTTAAGGCTGCCAGACTGCACACACATCTACAGCAACAAGGGCTTCTATTCCATCTACAACTTGGATCAGGGGAAAAAGGGAGGTGTAGGAGAGGAAGGAGAAAAGAGAGAAAAAATATACCACCACCCCTCCCCCCCAAAAAAAGGGAAAAAAATCCCACCACAGGGAGATCTATGTGCCAAGCATAATGGAAGAGTGTGCTCCCCAAACAGATGGTTCTGCACAGGCTAATGTTCTGCTGGTTTTCCTCAAAAACCTATTTTGAAAAAGTTTAAAAAGACAGGAGATTTCAAAATAATTCAATCCTGGCAGAAATTCAAATTCCAAAACTAGGAGCAAAATCATCCTTCACTGAATTAATTCCTTTTCTCTTTTCTTAAACATTTTATTCATTTTATAGAGAGATTTCTTGTTTGCTTTTGTTCCAATCATTAGGAGAGTGGTTGAGGAGTACTGAATCCAACACTACTTTGATGACACAGGTAAGATTCCAAATTCACATTTCCAGGTACCAAGAGTTCCCTCTAAATGCCACAATCAAGTCAGCCTTAGTTTACATTTCTTTCTACTGAACACAGCAATGCCCATTGGTATCTCTGAAGCGTAATCGCATCTTAGGTCGGTATTTCTCCAAGTAAAGCAGCTGCTTGGAATTGAATGCTCCCCTTCTTTTTCTGAAAATACAAGAATAGCAAACTTTATCAGGTAAAAAAAAAGAGCTGTCTGATTCACTGAAATGCATTATTTATGTCCTAAGGCCTTTCTAATTCCACACAGCTGAAAACCAGCACATTTCCCATACTATAACACTTAAGAGCTACATTGCAACATGAACTTTGAGTCCTCCTAGATGAAGAGAAAAATTTTCCTTGCTGACCATCATTATAGCCTATTTAATAAGGATCAGAATAGTTTATCCAGAAATATTTGACTATATTCTTCCCAATTAGATTGATATATTCTTCAGACGAGAGTTGGTAGCAAATATTAGGATGCTAAAAAATAACATTAAGATGAAGAAGCTGGCTCAAGACGTACGCTGATGACATTCCTTGAAATGTGTTACCTTCCTAGAGCCGCTACCATATATTATTTCATGCTTTCTGTCGCAAATAGTCTTCTCTTTGGTTTTCATTTTTTAAATGAAGAGTTGAAAGGGAAAGGACAAGACAAAAATTGTCAAATAATTCTGGATAATAAAATGGCATGACTCATTATTCCAGATTGATGCCAAGATCCTGTCTGGGCACTACTATCCTGATTTTGTGCCTGAACAGACCACCTAAAAGTCCCAGGTGATTAACTGCTCCTCTACATTCTTCTTGCCTCCTCCTAATAGAGAACTGTAATTTGGAAGGTATTTGGAATCTATTAAAAGGTGCATTTTCGAGATTCCTAGATATTCAAACAATATACTGGACATATTCTATAATGTCCAAATTTGCCACCCAAATTAGAAAACCTTTTAAATCTGGAAGCCAGCTGTACTGAGTCTCTATCACTTGCTCTAAAGTTTTTACATTTTCAAATAACACTTTAGTCAAAGAAAGTAAATTATCCCACACTACAAATGAATACCCACTTCCATAATTACTTCCTCATTCATGATCTTCCTTTCTGTGTTTCTGAACACAAAATGTCATACTCACTGTCTTATAAACTGAACTGCATCTTCGTACTTCATTCCACATTCAATCAAAGCTAGTGCAACCAGCACAGGTGCCCTGCAGAAAGAAACCCTTATGTAAATATCCGTAAGTCTTGGAGTGAAAGAATTTTTTTAAATCCGTAACTTCATATTACCAAAGCAAGGCATAAGCTTTCTTTTTTCTTTTATACTAAAGTAGCTGATACCTACCTAATACAGTAATATATCTCATCATTATAAATTCTATGAATTTTTTTTTGTGGAGGAGACAGGGTCTCACTCTATCAAGTGGCTGGGGCTACAGGGGCCTGCACCGTGAACAGCTAATTTTTGTATTTTTAGTAGAGATGGGGTTTCTCCACGTTACCAAGTCTGCTCTTGAAATCTTGGGCTCAAGTAATCTGCCTGCCTCCACCTCCCAAAGTGCTGGGTTACAGGCGTGAGCCACTGAGTCCAGCCCAATATCTACTTTTAGGAAAGCACTAAATTCTAAACCTTAAGAGATCTTTACTCTTTAAAATATCATATTATATATTAAATTTCTCATCACTATATATTATCAAAAATTCTTCATTGGTCTTTAGCCATTATCCCAGTAAAATAAATGGCCAAACATATTATGTATCTCCAGTGTGTCAGAATTTTCATTACCAATTGGTTTTAATATTTCCTTATCAAATGCTAAAAAGGTGTTAGACTTTTTCAAGAAAATCCTTTTGATGAGCTAGGAAAATTCCCAAGAACTAATGACTAGGAAAAGTTCTCTATTTTTTAAACAATTTAACAGAGGAAATGATGTTTTTATAAAGCCCATTACAGGGCACCAATTTTGGACTACCTAAAACTAGGATAGCTACTAGTTATAAAATTGCCAAGTTACAACATTATCCTCAACCTTCAGGATAAGGACTACAACTTCCAACCTTATAAACAGTATTACACTACAAAAAAGGAAAATAGCAAACAAAGGCCAGAACACAACAGCTTGAATCACCACCACCTTGAGGCAATGGCAGCCTACACCAATATTCTGAATCAAAGTGTGCATACTAAATTGGCATTTAATTTGCTGTTGATGACAGTGTTGCAACACCATTCCAAGCAATGCTCAGGGAAAAGGGTTTTAAGATCAAAGTCAATTCTTGTCCATACATCTCCTTTCAAGAGTTTAAAGTTCAGATATCTGCTCTCTACCTATTAATTTCCCATTCATCTCAATCCAAAATTAACCATGTATAGACTCATCTAACTCTAAAATTATTTTAATTTTGTTGCCTATTTCAGGGACCTGAACTTTTGATTACTTGAAATAAGGAGACAAAACAGTCACAGGCTAAATCCAGGCTGGCATCAGAATCAGACAACCAGATGAAACGACAAGACTGTTTTAAAAAATCATTACACTTGTTTTTCTCTCATTTCCTTGCCTTTCAGGTAATTTAATATTATTTCGTATAATATATGCAAATGTCTACCAAAGTGAAACTTTCAACTAACTTAGGCATGTTAATAAATTCACAGACAAAAAGGTTAATAAGGGTAAGAGTTTACCTTCCCAATCCCGCAACACAATGCACTGCAACACAGCAACCTGGCTCTTCACGAAATTTGGTTTTTAACAGGTTTAACCAATCATCTACTATCTGATTAGGGGGTGGAGCTCCATCATCAAATGGCCAATCCTAAAAAGAAATCACTTTTTACATTAAATTGATATTTTCTCCAAGATTAACATAATAATACAGAACAGCTGCACATAGTACACATGGCAGGCCTAACTGAACTAACCGTACTATCCACACCTATTTTCAACCCAATTCTGATTATTGCTGTAAAATGATCCAGGACTGAAATTAAAGCCTGCCAAATAAATTAGCCTTCTCAATGAAGTATAGTCAGTGTCACACACATCTAAATTTACCAAAACTTACATAAATCTCTTTATCAGTCATAAGAGCTAGTATTCTCCCAAATATTATAACTGAATAGAGCAGTAATTAGACATAATAGACAAAACTGTAATTAAAGCCAAGACAAAGTAAGAGAGGACATAGCACATGTCAACAGGATTTTAAAGTCCACTCTGGCAAAGCGTACCAGCTGGTGTCTCATTGGTCTCTACAGATAATTGAAGATTATCCCCTAGATAACTAAGTTCTGAAATCTTTTCTTTAAAGAAAGGTTCTCTGATAAATCTCCAACAGTAAATCATAACAGAAACATACTACCATCTTTGAGCTTACTTATAAAAAGGCAAGCAGCAAATATTTTTAAAGTGCTTACTGAATTATATATGTCCCCATTTAACAAGGACAGTGCTGCATGGCATGGTCCTGGGCAAATAGAGACCATTTTGTCAAGTATCCTTTTCTTTTTCTGTATTCATCAATTTGCGTTATCTTTTAATTAAGACTAACCCCATGTGCATTCACAGTATAGGCAGGGGTTTATCTTCCTTACTACTTAGCAAGAGGTCCCAAGAAACCAATACAAATGGGGAGTGGGGGAGGGGAACTGGGAGCTGACATTTTACAAGTCTTCCCTCTTCCTATCTAAACTTCAAAGACAGAAATGCAAAAACATTGTTAGAAATTTTTTCTAAAACATAAGGCTATTCTAACGAGATAGGATAAGGACACTTTAAGATACTACAGAAGGAAAAAGAGAAAAGTGACAGAGCATTAAATTGATTCTGCATTCATTATTGGCACCACTAGAACACTTCATGTAGCCCATTAGCCATAATAGTACATATTTGAGTTGACAACTACGCCCCATAATTAAAGGACTGTGTTATTATAAATGCCATACAGAGTTTAACTGTAAATAGCAATAAAACCAGTACCTTAGTCAAGAGCTTACTTCCTCTAATACTCCCTAAAATGCACCTAGTTAAGAAACAATATAAAACATGCTTCACTTACTCATGTAAGTAGTAACTATTTTCTAAAAATCATTGATCATTTAGAAACATCTGAACCTCAAAATGATACAGCTAAAATCACCATCAATCTATTCCAATGTGTGCCTGGTTTGCAAGAGCATTCAAAGGATCAACAGCCTTATTTGGGGGATATCCTCTTACCATGAAATGTTTCAAAACCCTCTTCACCTAGCAAAAGTAGATTAACTCTTAAAATCTCTGTCTGGGAAAACGATATTCCAAGCTTAAGGCTAAATGCCCTTGTTTTTTCAAGTATAAGTTAAACCTTTCATTTTATCTGATCATGGCTATCTATCTATCTATTTTTTTATGACTTACTTTCCTCTGGGTAGATACTCAGTAGTGGAATTGCTGGATCAAATGGTAGTTCTACTTTTAGTTCTTTAAGGAATCTCCACATTGTTTTCCACAGTGGTTGTACTAGTTTACATTCCTACCAGCAGTGTAAAAGTGTTCCCTTTTCACCACATCCCTGCCAACACCTATTATTTTTTTACTTTTTGATTATAGCCATTCTTGCAGGAGTAAGGTGGCATCACATTGTGGTTTTGATTTGCATTTCCCAGATCACAACTATTTAAAACAAAACAAAAACCTAAATTTAAAGACCTGAAATAAATCTTAGGCCTACAATTATCTTCTACAAACTAGTTCAAGTTCTTTAGTTCATTTCTATTTCACAAAGATGTTTACCAATATTACTGACTCAGACTATGGTCCATTCAGTAATTTTCTCACTCTGCCATCTGTCAAACAAGTTGATTTTTACTCACTGGAGAACACATTCATAATACAGCAAAATAAACTTGTATGCAGCTTATTTTCAGAAGTTTAAATTTTATTACTATTTTTTAAACACGGGACTACATTTGATACATTTACACTCATCCCCAATGATTTCCAGCAGTGGACAGTAAAGTCATTTAGAAATTTGAATGCAAGCAAATTACCATGCCAAACTATTAAAACACATTATTTTATTTATTTTTAATTTATTTTTGTTTTTTAGACAAGGTCTCTGTCACGCAAGCTGGAGCACAGCAGCCCAATCACAGCTCACTGTAACCTTGACCTCCTGGATTCAGATGATCCTCCCTACCTCAGCCTCCCAAGTAGCTGAGACTATAGGCACATGCCACCACATCCAGCTAATTTTTATATTTTTTGGAGAGACATGGTTTCACCATGTTGCTCCACTAGTCTTGTAACTCCTGGGCTCAAGTGAGCCACCCACCTTGGCCTCACAGAGTGCTGGGAACAGGCATAAGCCACCACACCCTAAAACATATTTTTAAAAAACGTTTGGGTCTCGCGCGGTGGATCACATCTGTAATCCCAGCATTTTGGGAGGCTGAGGTGAGCAGATCACGAGGTAAGAAATTGAGACTATCCTGGCCAATATGGTGAAACCCCGTCCCTACTAAAAAAAATACAAAAATTAGCTGGGTGTGGTGGCACGTGCCTGTGGTCCCAGCTACTCGGGAGGCTGGGGCAGAAGAATTGCTTGAACCCAGGAGGTAGAGGTTGCAGTGAGCCAAGATTGCGCCACTGTAATCCAGCCTGGCGACAGAGCAAGACTTCACCTCCCAAAAAAAAAAAAAAAAAATACCCATGTTTGGCTAAAGTTTTTGTGTTTTCACCAAAATGAACATGAGGAAACTTTATGGATCAGATATGAGAGGACTGCCTTACCAATAGGCCATTATTCTTTTTGCACCAACTGCCTTCCCAACCACTGACCAATATAATAAAGACTACAGAGCTATCTTTCAATAAGAAGCAGGAACATAACACCTTAAACCAGTATCTTCCTTATTACCTTCTTTGTACCTAACTACTTATAAAATCTCCAGTTCTCTTCCTACTACATAACCTTCCCACAATCAAACCAACAGCTCAAAGACACTGAAAGCTACAAGATCATTTCATTACATGCTCCTAAAAGCTGCTCCTACAATTTAGACAACTATTTAGGGAAAAAAGAATAAAATGTTAACTACTCTATATTTTGGTGCTAAAGCGGAACTTAATTCCAATCACTTTGTACTCAAATTGAGCTAGGTAAGAAATCTAATCACACTAAAGCTCCTCAGAAACCTAACAACAAAAAGTGTCAGGAACTATGCTGATTACTCTGAAGCAAGATGCCTTCTCCCTCTCCTCATCCTCTTCTTACGCCTTTTTGCCTCCTACAAGTTATCCACAAAATATTAGTAACTAATATTGTACTTGCAAAGTGGCAGAGTTCCATATGGACTTAAAAATGTCTGATATAAATTACTTTGTTATATTCAAATTAGTAGGCTAGAAACAAAAGCTAAATATTGCATTAATTTCCTAAAAAAATAAAAATTGCAAATTTACGTTTTGTTAAAATGGGAGTACATTTTGCTTTTTACTAGATGAAAATACTATGATTTCTAGGCTTTAACAGCAAAAATGAACAAAACTGCCAATTTGTTAATCCAAAGAAATTTAAAAAGACTGCTATCAATAATGTATTTTCTGCTACAAACTTAAAACAAAATGCAAAACTACTACTGCCAGAGGATTTTTGAAGTGCAGTGGCATAATCAAGGCTCACTGCAACCTTGACCTCTTGGGCTCAGGCAATACTCTTGAGACCTCAGCTTCCCAAGTAGCTGGGACTATAGATGTGTACCACCATGCCCAGCTAATACCAAGTTTTATAATTTTTTTTTTTTTTTTGAGACAGGGATCTCACTCTGTCACCCAGGCTGGAATGAGGTGGCGTGGCCACAGATCACCATAGTGTCAACCACCTGGGCTCAAGTGATTCTCTCACCTCAAGTCCCCAAGTAGCTGGACCACAGTTGTACACTGCCATGCCCTACCAGTTTTTAAATTATCTGTACAGATGAGGTCTCACCACATTGCCCAGGCTGGTTTTGAAATCCTGGGTTCAAGTGATCCTCCCACAGTACTGGGATTACAGGTATGAGCCACTGCGCCTGGACTAGTTTTATAAATATTTATGTTTGAAAGATACAACTTGTCATGAAAAATTTAAATACTACACACTCACTAGAACGTGGATTCCTTCTTTTTCAACTGGAGCTTTATCATATGTAGCATCACAAACTCGAACCAAAGTCGTCACTCCATACTTCTTAAGTTCCTTTAAAAAAAAACAAAAACAACAGAAAAAAATAATTATAAGGGAACTTGTTTTTGAAAGCTTTAGAAATGTACTATAAGACTGGGCACGGTGGCTCACACCTGTAATCCCAGTACTTTGGGAGGCCAAATCGAGAATCCATCTCAAAAAA